ACCTCTTACCTTCATTTTTGCTTCTCCTGTAATGTTCATTCGCATGGAGGGATTCATCCCATCATTTCTGTTTCCAGATGTTAGTTGATTCCAAAGTGCCCTCTCCAAAGTATGTTTTAAACCTCCCCTGGTGCACTTTATGTTCCACTTTACATGATTCAACTTGCAGTTGGTTGAAGCAAACATTATGGATGGCCACTTACCTGTATTAAAATGGCCACAGTCACATACTTAAATGGGACATTGTCGTGGACCAGTTTTCATCCCTTGCCTGGCAGTGTCCGAACAGCTCATATAGCAATAATCACATGATCACTGAGAAATGCAATATGTACTTAGTGACATCCTAGTCATAAACATTTGGCTTGTGATATGCTCACAGTACTGATCTGACAGTTGCTCTAACGTGGTCTGGTTTAGTTTCATTCTGGATCAGGAATGAGTCAAATGTGTGGGGCCGGCTTCAACTCAATAGTTGTGCTGGCAGGAGCCAGAGCAACGAGTCCTGCTGGCACAATGGACCTTGCTCATTTCTGCTCCCCTGTATGCCCCTGCTTTCCTCAGCTCAGTGGGGTTGGGAGAACCCCCAAAACAGCACATCAAGGGAGGGGAGATAGTTCCATCAGCAGAAATGCTTATGCTGATGGAAGAATCATAGTAGCATGATGTTGAATTTCATCCATGGTACCTCTAGCTCAGGCTTCCTCAACCTCAGCCCTCCAGATGTTTTGAGACTACAATTCCCATCATCCCTGGCCACTGGTCCTGCTAGCTAGGGATCATGGGAGTTGTAGGTCAAAAACATCTGGAGGGCCAAGTCTGAGGAAGCCTGCTCTAGCTGGATTGTCACATTCATTGCACATGGATAGATACGTTCCAGTTGTTGGATGAGAAAACAACCACAGTGCCAAGAAGATGATCAGTGCTGTATGTTTTCCCAGCACAGATACTCTGTTTCCCCCAAAACAGGCAATCAGCTCACACTGTAGATAGAGAGATAACGCTAAAAAAAAGAGGCTACGTATTCCCTTCTAATAGATAAGGCATGTTATTTATATTATTACTGTATCATGTTGAAGTTCAGTATTTACACTTTAAATACTCTAGGGGGTGCATTTACTCAGGGAAAATCAATAGTTAAGACTTCTGACTCAGTCCTATGGCACAAGAGCTTTCCACACATTTTTCAAAGGATCTGCTGACAAAGCAAGCTCAGCGCTTCCCCTTGCTGTTCCAACTTCTGCCCAGTCCCCTGCATGTTTAATTGGTGTCAAGACTTGTCCCTTCTTCCCCGTTGCCACTGTTCACCACTGTCATTTTTATGTTTTGTGTGCAGGCACATACACAGACATTTTAAAATGGGCAGCAAGGAGAATAGCATGGATCACCTGAAAAGAGCGGAAGAGGGATCAGGGAGCTATCAGCAGTGCCATAGATCAGTGGGTGGGGATTACATACCTGCCAACTATATGCATTCAATAAAACTTTGTCCAAATACGAATCAATGAGAAATGAAGAACTTTCACAAGTTCCATTTTCAATCATTCCATTGTAATTTCCCTAAACACTTCAACCAGCATCTCTGCCTATAAGCCACATTTATTTGACTGTATTATAGCGCACACAGCATCTGGGTTACAGCATGTTGCCATAGTGCAATGCATGCTGCATGCTAAGTATATATTTGCTGGCATAGCAAATATATAGGAATGGCCCTTTTGCTTATCATCCTGTACATGCTCACCTAGACAGTCACTGAATTCAGCTGCTTAGCAAGAACCTGACTAATACGAATGCAGTTGGGGGTGTGAATGAATGTGAGTGATGGACAGGTACATCTTCATCACAATTTTGTCCCACCTTTCCTCCAAGCAGCTCATATGTTTGGGGAGGGAGAAGTACATGATCCCCACCCCACCCCTATTACATCCTCACAACAACCTCCAAGGATATCCTAATGCAGCTTTAAAGTCTGTGGTCACAAGTAGGATTCTAAATAGTATTGTACCTAAGTAACTCTGGTCCACGGTCCGTGCTCTCTGCCTACTATATCACACTGTCTACAACACAAGTTTGTGATGTCCAACATTTACTCCCAAAGCAGGTGCCTTATTTGTTCTATTGACGCTTTCCCGTTTTATGAGTCTTCAGAAAGTCAACTGGTGCAAATTTCTCTCTCACACACACACAGTTCTGCTTCTCCATTGAAATCATAGTTACTGCTGCATTACTGAATCACTGCTGAATCATTGTTGCAGACCAAAGACCAATGACATAGTAGTATTATTATAGTGCCTGTAAGACAGAAGTATGCTCGGAAACTGACACATTGGGGGGAAGGGGAGTTCTGGGCCCCTCGGTTCAGTTTTTAGCATACAATTCATGCTACAAAAGGGTTAAGTAATTATGGAAAAACACACTCTGTTTCCCAAGGGCAACATTATAACCCTGCTCAGTTTCTTAGAAACACTGGGTACACATGAATGAATATTAGTGCTAAGCCAGACTAGTGGGCTTATACCCCTCAAACATTTACATACCCCTCAAAAAGTATGCTCTGTGTTCAGCAGGGACACTTGAAAGGCACAAAGCTGTTCACCAAGAGATTTTAGGATTCATTCATTACTCTTAAACTGAGCTTTCAGTGTTTATAGTTGACTATTCTACACTGCTTAGGATGATTGGCATGTGCTGCAAATGGCTGGTACTGTAAGGCTGAAATCCAGTGCACACTTACCTGGGACTCTGAAATTAAGTCCCAGTAAACTTAATAAGACAGGTAGAAGATTTCACTAATTTTTTCACCAAGAGCAGAAGTCATAATTTTGAAGCCTCACAGTGTTCTCGAAAATGGTGGCTGCCATTTCTAATTTACTAGTCAGGTGACCCATTAACCATAAACGTGGATTACTGGGGGGGGGCATGGCTGGCCACAATTATAGAACTATCACTATCCTTATTGAAAATCATTTTGGTTCTGTCAAGGCTTCAGGTGGTTCCCCTGATGAAATCTCAAAAAAATCAACTTTTTGCTTTAAGTAAAATTGCATGGATCCACTAGTGCCAGGTTTTCCCAGTTTTATCCTCTGTATGGAGAGTTTCTTCAACAGCCCTTGACTCCAGTGCTGTAGAGAATCAGATGGTGCCCACAGAATAACTTTACTAACAACCTACATGAATGCTTTCTGTGGGTCCTGGTTAGAGCTGTGAGCAGCCCCATGGGGGGGGGATATCTAGTCTTTGTTTCCCTTAGAAATCCAGAGAAGCTGAAGCAGAAACTATTCCAAACTCCATTTTTTGCCTAGTGGCAACTATAAATTAGCTTACTGTATACCTACTGTTTTGTTGTGAATAATATACCTATTAGGGATCTTAAGCATAGTCATAGAAACCTAACATACAAATTTGGGAAGCAAATATTATTTCACAGCAAATATTTTTGTAGGAGAAAAAAAAATCCCCCATTACTATCCATTAAGCATTATAAAAGAGAGAAACAGGTCTTTGGGTGCAGAAATTTACATTGTTCTCTGCATCTAGTAATTGGAAGTAGATTTGATTTTTATTTTTTTGCTGGAAAGCAAACATGCTTTTATTGGCTTGAAGAGATTACTGGCCAAAGTGCCATTTATCACAGTGGTACATATTGAACTCACAGCCGAGGAGTATTCGTTGCACCTTAGTATTAAAACGATGGCTGGAGGCTCAATACCTATGTTTTATTCATTGAAGATGATGTATAGTTTGGATTAACTCTCTGGACAATGTCATCAATCATCATAAGACAATCTCCCAGTAGTGCTAAGGCATACTGTTGTACATAGATATGTTTTTACACCTGATTACATTGTGAATGATAATATGACTTCTTAAAGATATATGCTGAACATTAATGGCTCTAGTTGAAATAAATAGATGTTGCATAGTAGCAGTACCAGATTTGCTGGATTGTGCCCCAGTTTAAACCAGGCAGGTGCACCAAGTATTGGGGACTGAGGGCTCTTCAGCCTCCCAAAAAATTCAAGGAGGGGGCTGCCCCCCCAAAAAAAAATCCTGTGGCCCTGCTCTGCCTCCTCCTCCCTGCCCGTTGTCGCACAGGTAGAAGGAGGCCAATTGTGGAGCCTGGCAGCTATGCTCCAGAATTGTGTGGCAGCAGCTCCCAGCGAGATCTCACAAGATCTCACCAGAAGCAACACAATTCTGGTAGGTGACGTTTCGGCCGGGTGGAGGTGACACCTTCCTGTTTCACCTCAGATGGCAAAACGGGGCAGGCTGCCCCTGCGTAGATGCCATACTGATACAGTATGTCTGGCTTTAAATACAAATCAGGCAACTAGGCAGGTAAGGAGCTTGAACAAAAAGGGGAAACAATCAATCCTACTATTTTTAACAGGCCACATCATGTCACAGAGAGAGCATGGGAGCCAATGTTACAAGTTTCTATACTTGATCACTAAATGCACAATACCATTTTGAAAGAGGAGCCACCTAGTGGCTAGTAGCATTGTTGAATCTGAGCTGCCAGAAGACATTGCAAGAAATGCCTCACTTAGAATTTATGAAAATAACAACTGTTGGGCCTTTTAAATAATGACAATATGGAACATCTTTTCTTTCTTCTTTTCTTTCTTCTTTTCTGTTCTGTTCTTTTCACATATGTGTTCCAAATATTAAAATATAGAGAGAGTCAGTTTATTGTCAGGACTTAATCACTGAAACAAATAAAGATTACAAAAGTTACAATTGAGGTGTTGATATTAAATATACAATCCGTCTCCCTTGGTGTTCCTTTGAGTAGAGGAGATGGAGGAGTCTTACAAGGTCAGGGGAATCTCTTTTTATGATGGGTATTCCAATGGTGGCCTGCATTTGCCACCAAGACAATGTCTCCTTTAAGAATGCAGGTTCACGTTAAACCTCAGTGTTGTTTTATATATTGTATATTCATTGTTTTAAATTAATTCTCTCTAGACAAAATAAAGTGTTGTACTACATTGCAGCCTCACTGTTAGGAATGAAGATAGAGGGGACAGTACAGGAAGGCCGACACACACAACTAAAATGGAGAGTATTCAAGTCATAGAAGAGTGGTAAGTTTGCTGTTTGTCTTCTCTATTTGCCTCTTACCATAAACTAAGATGGTCGCAATCTTCTGCACATATACTTGGGACTAAGTCCCACTGAACTCAATGGGCGGTATCAATGGCTACCTTAGCACAAAGATCTCTGTTTGTGCCATGGAACTTCCTTCCCTCCCCTCTTCCCAAATCTGCTCTGGACGGTTGGGAAAAAACACAGAACAAGTTGGGGAAGAAATGAGTAGAAGGGAGGGAAGTTTCATTGTGTAGCCAGAATAAGGTTACCAGATTTTTTTCAATGAATCCGGGGACACTTTTCAACTTCAATGGATTTTATATGGGGACTGATTTGTAAATCCGGGGACTGTCCCTGGGAAACGGGGACGTCTGGTAACCTGATGGAACTACTTTGTTGTGGCTTACTTCTGAGTAAACATGTACAGGATTGCACTGTTAGTTGCTTCACTGTGTGTGCTTTCCTGTAATTCATACAAAAGCAACAACCAGAAATTTGAGTTTCAATCAGCTGGTCTTCATGTAATATAACAGCAAAGGAGCATTGCTGATGCATAGTTGTGGTATAAATAAAATAAAATCAAGCATGCTTTCTCGTTTCTGTCAGCATATCAATGAATAATAACACATTTTTTTCTGTGCAGAGAAATAACTGTAAGAAGCAGAATTAGATTCAGGGCTATGCATGCTCCATGCAAAAATAAGTGTGTGTTAAAACTCCTGTGTTATGGAAATACAAATTCTGTGCCAAGAAAAGCTGAACTCATCATCATATATAAATTAGGAAATTGAATAAATTTTGCACACTGACTCTTTTGCATAATTTATTTTGCTTTTGCTTGTCATGGTGAGAAGCAAATAACTATATAGAGCCCTGAGCTCTGCTACCAAACTATTGGCATTCTTATTCATCCATACTTCTATGCCTTCTTACAGTTTAGTAAGTCACTGTTAATTTTATTATGTATGCTTTTAAAACTGTTTATCAGTTTCTGATAATTAGTATAATTACTTGCTGTTCTTAATATCTGTTTTTAGCATTATTTTAATGTATATTTTATACTCTTATGTAAACTGCTTACAGGTATGGGCTTGTGTGTGTTTTTGTCCTCTCTCCTCCTTGTGCAATAAAAGGGGAGTGAAAGCTTCCACTTTCGCTGTTGAATAAACCACAGTTCCATGTTATGTATGAACCTAGAGAACTGTGGATAGTTATAACCAATGTTAGTTACAATGGTCTGATACATAACAGATTGTGAAACTAACAGGTTGCTTGTTAGTTAAGTAACAGGCTGTTAGTTTGTTAACTAACAGGTTGTAGAAACATGCTGGCAAGCGTGGGGGCAATTCCTACTGAAATCTCAGAAACCAGATCTTTTAATTAATGCAAGTGGAAGGCTCAGGAAGGCACAGTTGAAATTTTAATGGTCGTCTGAGCTGGGTCTCTCTGTTGCATCATCCATTGAGGATTCACACAACTGACAGCACTCAGCTGAGGTTCTGGAAGAGCAGGGAAGTTCATCCCTTGTTCTGTCGTCAGACACATACCCATGTCACAATTACACTGATGTAGTTACCTTTCAGGCATACGTGCTACCTTATACTGAGTCAGACCATTAATCTATCTAACTCAGTGTTGTCTACACTAGGAGCAGACAGCCTTCTAGGCCCCAAGTGGCAGTGTGTGAGCTTTTGGATCCAGTGGGTGTGGTTAGTGATAGGTGTGGCTGGAGCCAGTGTTGCCATATACAGAATTCACATGCACACAATGTTCTTCTTCTTTTGCCCCCGTTTTCCTTTCATTGGTTTTTCATTAGCCTCCCTACCCACTTTCATTTGCCTCCCTTTACAGCATCAATTCATTTCTGACATTATACTGCTGCTCCTCCCTTTTTATATTAGTTCAAGTTATTGGCCTAATCCTGTCTTATTGATAACCTTACTACATGCTATAAATTACAAACATAAGAGTATTGGAGCTTACTGTTGTTGTTGTTAAGTTAAACTATTGCACCAATTCAAGATCTGAGACTTTACAAAATTGCCTTCATGGTTTTCAGTCTAACTTTTTTCTTCCCTTTCCACTTCAAGGCAATGCCATCTTGTGGACAAGAATGATTTTTCATAACATAGCATCCATTAGTTTCAAAGAATGGTATCCCATATTTCTGGTCTTTATAAGTTGAAGAAAGGTTTTAATAATCCATTGCGCAGCCATTTTGCTTATAGAAACAAATTTTAATATCCTTTTAAGAATTAATTCACACGTCTCATGTTTCCCCTCTGGCCAACTCAAGTCAAAGAGTGAAGCTTTCATTGGAGAGGGTGTATGGTGTGTGGGGGTGTAAATGCATGCCAGGGGGGGGCATGCACCTGCTCTCCATCCATGCTTGCTGACTTGTCAGTTTGAGGTCTGCGCTTTGGGATTAGGATAAGATTTGTATTTCCATGGGAGACAAAATGTCTGTCCCCAATCCCAGCACTCATCTCTGACTCCTGTACATAACCTGACAACCTACTTCTGTCATCTCTTTCTAAATTTGAATTGTTTGACTGCTAGCTTTTAGAATTAGAAACACTGAATAGCTTTTCGTTGTTGTTGCTCTTGTCATTGTTTGTTTGTTTTGCAGCCAAAACCCTACAGAAGATGAAATCCTGTCTTGGGCTCAAAATTTTGACAAGATGATGAAAACACCAGCCGGTAGGAATATTTTCAGAGAATTTCTTCGAACAGAATATAGCGAAGAAAACTTGCTGTTCTGGCTAGCATGTGAAGACCTGAAGAAGGAACAGAACAAAGAAATTGTTGAAGAAAAAGCAAGGCTTATATACGAAGACTACATTTCTATACTTTCACCCAAAGAGGTAATACCATAAATTCCAAATTGGCATACAAGCTTGGGGTCAAATGTGGCCCCAGGCCCCTCGCTCTCTCTGGCCCTTGGAATTCTCTGAGGGCCATGCCCTTCATCTGCTCTGCTCTGCATTCCCCTTGAGTGTTTTGACTGGCCTGAACTATGATAATTCCCCTTGCTTGTTGGGTGAAGAATGGAGAGAGATATGATTGGTGCAGCTGGAATGCAGTCTACAAAAACAAAGGGAAACGTTCCAAACCCCTGCCATAAAGGCTTGCAGTTGCCTTTAGGTTAGAAAGCATGAAGTAAACTCCTTCACAAGTGGTGTGTAAAGGCGCCATAATTGATAAACTCTTTGCTGTAATGCTCTCTAACAATGGGAAGTGAAAACAAGATGGCAGCATTTGTTCAGCAAAGTGATAGTGCAAAGCAGGCATTATGCCTGACAATGGAGAGAGTCCTGGGAAAGGTTGAGGCAGAGGGTCGGGCTTGCTTTGCAACCAAACTGGACTAACAATGTATGGAACAGATAAATAAATACCTGAAATGGTCCTATGTCTATGCTTTTCCACCCAGGCCAATGACTCAGTAGTTCAGGCAAAAATGCATAGGTTTGTATCATTCCATTTTCATTTGCATTGATTTAAAGAAACACAGCACATTTCATATCAATCATACAACTGATAAAGATGTCAAAGGGTTTATGACAGTCCTTCCATGTAGGCAAGATCCAGTTGGGTGCTACAGCGATTGAGTAAGACTGAAGCCTTAAAGTGAGATCTGTATACCTTTCTTGAGTGAGGGCTTGATCAACTTCTCTTCCTCTTCTCTTTAGGTTAGTCTAGACTCACGGGTGCGAGAAGTGATCAACAGAAATTTGTTGGATCCCAATCCGCATATGTACGAAGACGCTCAACTTCAGATCTATACGTTAATGCACAGAGACTCTTTCCCAAGGTTTTTGAACTCTCAGATTTATAAGTCTCTTGTCGAAAGTACTGTGGGCTCTACTTCTGAAACTTAGGTCTATTTGAGAGGGGCTGAAATCCTGATTTAGCTTTTGGGGTGGGGTGAGGGTGGGGATACTATTAGGATGAAGACAGAAGAAGCATTTTTAGAGTGGCGGGGCTGCTCTGGAAGCACCCTTGCTGCATTCAATCCAAAACGTACCTTTCTTCTCCCACGTCAACCTCTGGGGGGGGGGGAAACCAGTTCTGCACCTTCGAAGCAGAGTCTGGCTGTGCACGGTGCTGATTTGCAGAGCCCACCCCCACCCCCCGAAAAACCTCCCCCGCAATAGCTGGAGCAGTTTTGCACTTTAAGAAACGTATCCTTTTTCAATGAATAAGGTGACAAATGAGCAGATTGAACGCTGTGCTTTTTTAAAAAAGAGAGAGAAAAGGTGGATGGCTCATCCATTAAATGGAGTGGGGGGGGTGCAAGACTGACAGCTGAGCCAAGCTTTACTTTGCTGGCATGTCTACGTCTGTCTTTTCGCTTGTGAGGCTGAGAGGAAGCCAGGTTCACCCCACAGCCGAGAGACATGCTACGAGCTCTCTTTTTGTATTCCATCTGTCTTCACCTTAGTAGTTTACTAACATCTGGAACTGAGTTCCTGGAGAACTACAGTTTAGCACTACTCAGGCTACTGTGAAGAAAACAAATACACGCAATGGTCTTTGTCTACATTTTACCAAGGTCCTTCATGCTTGAGTTTGGAAGGGGAAAAGAGTAGATTTGCTAAATAACCACTCGTTTCACACACTTTTCACAGCTGCAGTTGAGATTGCAATGACATGCGTGTCGTTTTATGAAGTATTTCCTTGTGTACCCTCACACAGCATGTGCAAAGCAAAAACTGCTTCATTTACCACTTTGTTGTTGCAATATTTAATCCAACAACATAAATTATATCGGTATTTAATAACATTTTGTGCAATATAGTCTTACAGTACACACAGGAATCCTCGGAACAGGCCGAAAAGCAACTTGCATTTTTAAACAACATATGCGAACACTGTCAGAAACTAGCCCTGAAGTGTAGCAATGTTATTCCAAGCGCTCTTTGGAGGAAAATCCATTGCTATGGAAGACAGACAAGCTTTCTGTGTAAGATGGAGAGAGAGATGGAGCATGTGTGTGTTATTTATCATTAATTTAAAAATTCAAAACAAGGGGTTCCTCTTGTTGACTGCCATAATTGTGGCATTTTCATTGCAGAGTTCAAAATGTCAAAAAAAATAAACATGAACAAAGCACAATTACATGAAGGGATCCATGTTGGGGTTACATAGTATATGCGCTGACATTGTTTTTAATTGTTATAAGAACAGATAATCAATGTACATTTCAGATGTCGGATAATGTAACAGATTTATTAAAGACTGGCTATCCAGTTATCTCACGCTGCTGTGTAATGTTATGTAATTCAGCAAAACAAAACAAAAACCCAGAAAACAAAAAAAATTAATGCATACACACAACCATGGTTGATAATTTACTTTTTTTAATTAAAAAGTTTAAATTTTTTAAAGGGAAAAATGCCTAGATGTAGCATTTCAGTCCACACTGAGGACTACTATTTGTCTGTCAGTTATTTTTTTTCTAAAAAGTGCTATCATATGAAATGGAATGTTCATGTGTTTTCCAGAAACTGAAACCAAATTGTTATTAAAAAAAAAAAAAGGCTGAAGAAGACTATCTTCTGACCTGCCTAATTTTGAAGGATTTGTTGTGGAGTAGAAAAAGTTTACAGAGATTTAAATAAATATTAATTTTTTTAAAAAAAAAGTGGCCCAAGAATGAGATCAGTGGGTGTTCTATTATCTTTGTTCTTTGTTCAAAAACAAAATCAGACAAACAAAAGGACTTCTTTTAAGTACTAGAATGAAAGAGGGAACAAAGTAGTTCAGCCACCTTAAGCTCAGTTTACTTGGGCCATCTTTTTGCACAAGCCACTCTGGACTGAACGTGAGCTCAGGCAGTGAATAATGGGGCTTTTGTGGAACTCCCATTCATTGCTTTTGTGCAATGGTTGAGATTCCTGGGGGGGAAATATACACACTCCCTTTGCTGCTGGTTAGTTTTGTAGGTAGCTGCTTAATGTGGTTTTTTTAAAAAAATAAACTTTCCTGATTTAAATATGTGCTTGGACCTTGCGAATAAATATCTAATCTAAAAATTGAAAGAAAACACCACACATTTTTCACAGCTGTTCAAACCAGTGGTGCGTGTTGACATATTTCCTTTGAGGAACTTTTTTAAAGCAGGCCATAGGGTTTTGAAGAGTTTTGTTTTGGGTTTTTTTGACCATCCAAAACCTCAGTGATGCTTCTCCCTTAATGTCAGCCAGTTGACGTGGTTGGCCCTCGTTTAAAATAAACCTCACTGTGGTGTTAACTGAGTAGACTTTGGTTCTCAAATGTTGGCCTCTTGTCTGCAAGCTATTCCTACAGGGCAACATCTCTGAAGGGCCACCAAGCATGCTGAGGTGCAGCCCCCCTCCCATCTTTAGGTGACATTTGACCCAGGGCTACGCTGAATAGGATGTCCTCAGAAGCTCCATTGCTGTGGCCAAAAGGACTCTCTGCCGGAGTAGGTACTGATTGGTGCAGAATAACTTTCAGAGCTGGATAGTCCTACCCCAGTCCTAAACATCTGCACCAGAAGTCCTTTTATCCATGCCAGCAGAATATCAGAGTACCCTAAATACCCCCTTCCTAAATCCCTTTTTGCTGGTGATTGGGCCATTCATATGTTTCCAAAATGATCTTTCTTTCCTTTCTTCCTCTCTTTTCTTTGCTACCTCTTCATTTTTAATTTATTGAACACATGTCAAAGGGCAGACGTGGGGAATTTTTGCTTATTATTTTACTTGAAATCTGTAGAACTTTTAGGTGGGGGGGGAGGGAGGGAGGGAGGGAGGGAGGGAGGGAGACGCAAGCAATTTAGCTGCTCATTTTCTTAAGCTCATTTGGTTTTTTTGTAATTTATATAGAATTCAGGAGATAATGACTTTAAAGGGCTATTCTTTATTCCCTATGCAACTCTTTGGATAACTGTGGTAGCGTTTGACAAAATGGGAGTTTTAAAAAAAGAGGAGAGAGAATAAATAAATAAATAAATAAGAGGAAATTCTGCAAAGCAGAAAACATAAAAGGTCTGTTTACACTGGCGTTGCTGACTATCCTACCATAATCAGCACTTTTAAATATTGTTGTTTATGAAACTGTAGTTTAAAATGCAAGATGAATTATTTATAAAGGACATTCTTTTAATAAATATCTGTTTTGTCTGAAAAGTGTTATTGTGTTATGATATACTTTATTCATGTTGGTTAGTTATTTACCATTATGAATAAATTTTAAAGATATATTGATAGAATAATACCTTTGAAGATGTTTACAAAGACAGATTTTTTTTCCCTAAAGGGGGGTGGGAATGGACAAGGGGAGTGGAACTGACAGAGAAATGCCTCCTCTTACTGTGAAATTCTCATTGTGAACGAAATAATTGTAAGATATGTGGTTTTTTTCCTAACCAGAATTGATTTAACTGTGGTATTGCATATCAAGAGCACCACAGTTAACGTCATATTTACTATGGTACTCTGAATATATAGCACCCTTTCTGTATATATATGGTGTGAATTCAGGTTTGTTACAGTGTTTGAAACACAATTATCTCTGGTGCACACAACTAGGTACTATGTAATTAGAGAATACTGCATGTATACAACTTTCAATATTTAGACTTCATATTTTGATGTTACTATTTGATGGTGACCTGTTAATCAGAAGCTATCTTTATAAGATACTTTTAATACAGTAGGCGAGTTGTCAGTTTGACAGAATTTATCTTCTGAGGAAACTTGATGAAAACTATAAGGGCCCAAAAACATCACCCTGAATTCTAGCATAGGATTTCATAGTATCTGTATTTGGGGGAGCGGGGGGGGGGGGAATGTATAGCATTTAAACAAACTTTTCAGAAATTGGTTAGTGTGTTATTGCAATGAGACTGTGTTAACATTTCAGTCTATGTCCTTCTTCTTAAGGGGTCAGTAGACTCACCATACAACACTCCAAATGTTCTTCCTAGGAGTAGATGTATATTTTAAATACACAGGATATATATGCCTTTTGCCGGTTTTGTTTTTTTAAAACCCATGCAGGTTGTTGGTGTCAAACTCCAGTGGCTGCAAAAACAGCCAGAGTTTTTTCGTGCCACTTTTGCATACCTCAATCTGTTTTATGAAATTGATGCAGTATTGGCAATGTTTTAGACGGTAACATAATCTCATTGCTCTCGGTATATTTGCAAAATGTGAGCAGCCAATGATTAAACTTCTAAAAAGATTACCGTATTGTGCATGTGCTATACAATAACTTTAAAACAAACAAACAAACAAATGCCTACCTATACTTAACTACTTGCAGACAAAAATAGATTTAAACTGTATTTACTTCCTGGATTTTGGATTTTCATGAGGCCACACATATATGAAATAAATATGAAACTTTTTATTTAAAAATGGCTTGGAATAAATTATCTATACACTGTGATCATGCAAAAGCCCACACATGTCTCTCATTCATCTAAGTGCTGTTGATATTTCTTATTCCAACTAATCTTTTTATTGAATGTTTATAAGTATGGGTGCTCTATGGACTGTGGCTTAAGACAGCAATTTACTAGGCATTTGGGGCATAAACCTGAATCCATAGATGCAGTTGTATTAGCAAAAGGTGCTTCTACTCACTCAAACCAGGGGGGTCCTTAATTTCACTAGTTCTCCGTTAACATGCTAGCCCCCTTGCCATTTCCTGTGCTATTCTGGAGGATCCCCAACCTAAAAGAGTGGCTTTTTAGGGGCTCAGTGCTGCAACAGGAAGGAGGCAGAAAAGTGCCACTCTAGAAGTAGAACCAGATCCTGGAAGTTAAGCTCTATATTGTAACCCACCCACCCACCCCATCACACATGCTGCCCACTTCATGCTTCATTTATCCTCTGGATGGAAGAGGATTGATTGTTTTGTACTGTTTGATCTCCCCTTTCCTATACTTTTTATATGGTTTCTGATATATCCCAGTTAAAGTGAATTGAGGAATGGGGGAGGAATATCCAAGGTCTTGGGATCTAAAGTGTTGACAACTAGTAAAATTCTTAACAACACTTGCTGATACAGCAGGTAATATACAAGACATGTTAATAATTCGTTAATGGTTTTTTGTATTCACACTTCTGAGAGATTTTGAGTTGAAGGGGGAAATGTGTGAGACCCCATAGGAATTAACACTAGCGAAGGGTGATTACAGACCACAGACACTCTCTCTGTATAGTTGTACCCCTGTACTATGAACAATAATTATTAATAAAATTTTATATTTTATACTTCAAATGGGAGTCATTGTCTAATACATCAGATTTTTCCCCCATCTCTGACTTAATCAGGATCTGTTTGACCCCAAGAGCAGATCAGTGGGATGAGTTAGAAAAGGGACTCATTTTAGAATATACTGTTGTATTTTGAGTCACACACCAATATAGAGTTCATATACAGGGCTCAAGTATATTAACTATTTCTCCCAGGTAAACAATTTCCATGTTTGGGAGCAGCATAGAGCCGGATATGGAAAATCCATAGGTGGAACTCTGCTCACAGTACACTCTGACTAAAGAAGGGGTGGAGATGGGGCTTGGGGCTTCAAGAGGAAATAAAGACAGAAATTGGTGGAAATCCTACACACACACCTTTTCCCAGTATGTCTCCTCTCCAGACCTTGGTCCTTCCACCGACAGAAGGAGCTGTTCAGTTTGCACAAGGGCAAGTCTGAATCTAACCTCATGACAGAAACTTTCACCAACTAGAGTCCATCAGATGCATGAAGTGTTATCGCTAAGTTGTTAGGTACACATGAAGGTGGAGAAAGAAAAATCTAAACAATATCAGAGAAAAATGAAATACGAAAACCCAGATGTTGAAAATTACATAAAGGTTAAATGTATGTAAAATAAGCACACTGGTCATTCACAAGGCAGCATTAACGGTAGTACTTATTCAGCTGAAGCATTTGTGCATGCCACTACAATCCCCAGCACAAAAACTATAGTTTACTTCCATGGGCATAGGCAGTGCTCTTTTAGGGGGTACTCAATGGTACGCAGTACCGGCAGCACCTCTCTCTTTTTGTTAAACAGTGTGGCACGTACTGTAACAACTTTGTGGTGTGTCCCGGCACCACATTTCTAGAAAGGAAAAAAGCACTGGGCGTAGCTAGGATTTATGTCATAGGGGTCAGGCTTTATGTTAGGGGGCAGAACCGAGTTATCCGCAACACGATTGGTCCGTTAGTTAAGTATTTTTATTTATTTACTTGAATAAGGGGGGGCAGCTGCACCCTTCTGGCTACCTCATCATGTTTACTTCTACTTCTGCTGGAGAGGTGCTCCTTGGTTGGCTGTGGGTAGGGCGAGGTGCAACACACACTTTATTTTTTAACCTGCTGTTTTGTGCAAATCTAGTATGCCGTTAAGCTGGTGTTTTAATAATAATAATAATAATAATGAAAAATTGACAACCAACACAGGTAAACAAATACCTGTGTCTGTCAGTCATCCCAGCACCTTTCAATTAATTGCCCAGAAACCGGGAGGCAACCATTCTGGTTGGGTTACCTCTCTCTAATGTTTCATTTCATGATGTTTATAGAAACGTTTGACTCCTTCCTCCCGTCGGGAGTCGCATCTTTTCGGCTTTTTCCGGATTTTGCTGCCGTTTCAGTGAATGGGAACTAGCAATGCAAGCCCTGCACGACAGTGCCCAACTGAACACATGACGACCCGTACCAGCAAAAGAAGCCCACGCATTATTACCCCCCTACCTCTATCTCCCGCCTTTTCTCCGTAGAGCTCGGGGCAGCACGCGCGGCTCTTGCAATTCCCACTCCCCCCTTATCCTCACAACAACCCTGCCATGTAGGCTCGGCTGAGTGACTGCACAAGCCCACTCAGTGAGCCTCGTATCCGGTGTGTGCGTGTATGTGTGGACTGGAACCCGGGTATTCCCTGGCCATGGTCTTAAACTTAAGAAACTCGGGAATGAAGCGCTTCCGTGATTTGCCAACGCGGTTCCTACCCGGCATAGAACGCCGTCCAAATGTGAACCCGAAGTGAAGGCGGTTCGTATTGGCCACTCTTGTTTTATCTCTATGCTGGACGCGGGGCCGGTTCGTTTCCGGAAGTTGCCGGCCTCGTGACCGGAAGCGGAAACTTTCCGGGCAAGGGAGGGCGTGGTTTGCCGTCGGCATGTGGCGGAGTGTTGCGCGCAGTCTGTTGTGGCGGCGGCTGCAGCAGCAGCAGCAGAGGTGGAGGCCGCGCGCCTCGTCTTCGCCGCTCGCCGTTGCCCTCGCGCCGGGGCGGTGGGAGGCGAGGGCGCCTCGGCGCCCCTCCAGCAGCCAGGCTGGCTTGCGCGAGCTGTTCGAGCTGCCGGCGCTGCAGCGCTTTCTGGAGCGGCAGCAGCAGGAGCCGGGGCTGCTTCGCGGGGCTTCCTGGCCGGACTTGGCAGCGCGGATTCGCCTCCTGCGGGAGAAGGAGCAGGAGCTGCGCGACACGGAGCGCCTGGCGCAGGAAGGTGAGGCCGCCTCGGCAGACTCCGTAGCCACAGCCCGCTTGGCGCTCGTTGCCCTAAGCCGCAGCTCTGTGGCTCCGCAGCCGCCTTCAGTGGTGGCTGCCACACAGCTTGCTACCTGCCTGCACCAGAGGCAGAGAGGCGCGTCTTCCCGGGCTTGGCTGTCTCCTGCAGGGACCATCCCATCTCGCCGTGATGTAATGCTATTAGTACCTGCATTTAGTGCATTGAAATTCTTATACAGGGGCCGGGTATTTTAGTTGTATTATCGTTATAGGCATTATTTGCTAACAATAACTGTATTCTAGATGAACATGAAGATTTGCGGAAGCTAGCGGAAAAAGAAGCTGTTTCCTGTCAGGAAGAGATAGCAGATTTGAAACACCAGGTACATTGCTTCCTTTTTGTATTCATTTTATTTAAAACATTGCTTTTCATTGTGGGAACAATTCCAGAGTGGAATATGATATGCAATATTATTTTCATATAGTCATACCTTGGTTGCTGAACGCCTGGAACTGGTTAAGTTTCGGCTCCTGAACGATAGAAAACCAGAAGTGAGTTTTCTAACGATTTTCAGAAGCCGAATGTCCTTCTGGTTTCTGCAGCCAATCAGAAGCCATGCCTTGGTTTTCGAATGGTTTCGGGAGTCGAACGGATTCCTCAAACGCATTCTGTTCGAGAACCAAGGTGCAACTGTATATATATTGATTATTGTTCTTATTGCATGTGTTCCAGCAAGGTATGTGATAGGATACTGTTGGCTGAAGATTTTATTTGGGTAGAAAGGCATCCCTTTTTCGTTACAGATTGTATTGCTTTTGATTCCTTCAGAAGAAACAGATAGAAGTGATCTCATCATGGAAGTGACTGCTGGAGTTGGAGGGCAGGAAGCAATGCTGTTCACAGCAGAGATGTTTGATATGTATCAACAGTATGCTACATATAAAAAGTGGAATTTTGAAGTTCTGGAATATGCTTCCAGTGACATAGGTAAGTAACCAGTGCATATACCAGTGTCACCCTACACATTACATTGCTACAGGGGACATCTTATTTTTTCTGCTGCTAAATATGAGTGTTGGAGTATGAATGGTTATATATCATTGAAATCCAGCATACATGTCTAGGAATCTTGTAGAGGTTTGCCCAGTATGCACCTAGTGTTTAAAGATGCATGCACTCTTGTGTATGATAACCACATAAAATAAAAATAGTAGCATAAAAACAGTGTGAAGCTGCCTTCAGTAACCCTCTTAGAATACTGCTGAAGAAATTGCATCCAACAATTACATCCAATTAGACCCAACAACAACTGGAGGGCCGGTTCCTTACCCTATTATATGTTGGTTATAATAATGACCTAGTTTATAGGAATATTATATGAATTAATGAGAATTTTCATAGGTTGGCTATGATAGGCCTTTCCACAGCTGATTGCACTAAGGAATGGACCAAAGATATGGACTGGAAGAGTGTTGGAGGCAGAAAACTGTGATTAATTGGAAACTTCCTGGTTTGATCATTGTAGCGTTAAGGGGCTGCATGTGCAGGCAAAGGCACAAACTATGGGCATGAACATACGTCTGGTTAATAAGGTCAGAGATGACTGTCTGAACTTAACCAGTGTAAAAGCAATAATATACATGAGTGGAACCCCCAACAAAATACTGCGGTGTGGAATGCTCCTTTTTGGTGTTCCAACCAGCTCTTTTTTCTTTCAGGGTGTTCCATTCCCTTTCTTCTCCTGCTGGTTTTCTGCCTTTACTACACCAACAGACACTCAGCATTCTTTGGCGTCTGTTCATGTTCAGTCCTTAATGGTTTGGCTTTATTTGAGGGTGAATGGGGTTGGGTGGTGGGCGTCTTGGGTTCTTTATGCTGATGAATTTTTCTACTTAGGCCAACCTTGGGGTTCTCCTTAGCATGGTGATACCCCCTTTAACTCAATAACACACAAGTTTGCTATCAGTATATCCGGTTATTTATAAACTTTCTAGGAACGGGGCAAAAATTAAGAACAAAATACAAACTCTGGTTGTAAGCTTAAAATCATCAGTCACAATATAAATCCTTCAGCGAACTTTTCCAAATGGATTGTACTATACAGTTTTTTTTACAGCATTTTTATTTTTATTGAAGGTGGTTTGAGACATGCATCTGCTGTTATAGGAGGCCTCGACACGTATAAACAGATGAAGTTTGAAGGGGGTGTACATCGTGTCCAGAGAGTGCCTAAGACAGAAAAGCAAGGACGCATTCACACCAGCACAATGACTGTAGCAATTTTACCACAACCAGATGAGGTATGATACAGTTACGCAGTTGCAGAGTTGCAGGACTAGATGACGCTAAGGTCCCTTTTCAACGCTACAATTCTATGATTCTGAGTAGGTGCTCAAATATTCTGCTTTCAGATATGCTCTTTTATGTAGACTTACTATGCTCAGAATAATTATTGATTTTATTACTTGATTATTTCATTTATAATCCACCTTTCCCCCAAGGAGCTCTAGGTGGTATACATAGTTCTCTGCAGAAGGCAGCTTATTGTTTCGGAAGAGTGTTTTAAAGGGTGGTGGGTGGCCCAGGTGTCAGTGAAAAACTTGCTTTGTCATTTTAAATAAGAATGATTTGTAAATTGAATTATCTGCCGTTCATTTACAAAGCATAAGTTGAGTGTGTCTCTTTCACATTGCAGATAAATTTGACAATTAATCCTAAAGACTTGCGTATTGAAACTAAACGAGCCAGTGGAGCTGGTGGTCAGCATGTAAATAAAACAGATAGCGCTGTACGAATAGTCCATATTCCCACAGGTACATTACAGCTTTCTTCCTACCTTGGTGAAATCTGTTTCTGCATATTATGATTTACACCAACAGTGTGGGGTGGGAGGTGGGGAGCATGGCTTAGTAGTAGTACAAATGCTATGTAGGCAGAAGATTCCAGGAGTCAGTGTGGGTACTGCTGCCAGTCAGAGTCAATGAATTTAGTGGTCTCATTCAGTGTCAGGGGTCACTGTTGCTGTGCCCTTCTTACTGCCATTGTTGGGCCAGCTCTGAGTGGCTGCAGACCTCTGTGCCTGCCAAGGACATAATACACAGGTGCTAGGAAGCTGCAGACAGGCTTCCTATTAAATAGAATTAAATGGAAGTGAGGGGCAGAGACACAGAGGGCTGGTGGCTGGAAAATAAACCAATGACCTGAGCATGGGGTGAGGTGGAGGAAACAGGAGGACACAAGAACCTGAGGAGACGGAGAGGTGGGCAGGAAGTAGTTAATAGTGTGGAGGTGGGAAGCAGGTGGTGTGTGAGAGGGAGACAGTGGAAAAAGCATGAACATAGGCAGCAATGCCCTTAAAATGAGAACTGGACAAGCCACCAGAGAGAAGCAAATGGCATGCAGAATGCAGAGGTCACAAAAAGCCTGCACACATTACCACTGCTAGATGAAGGTGTTTGGCCCTGAGATGCTGACCCATGGAAGAAGCCACCTGCTGACCAACCCATGCAGCATAATGCAGAGAAGCAAGAAGCTAGTCTTGACTTTGCATTACCCACCAGGGATCACTACCCTAGAGAAAGCTCTGAGAACACCTTAATCGTATAATGTGTCAAAAAACCCGACCTTGAGCAAGTTAGCTTTGTACCAAGGAGATTCATGGAATGGGGAGGTGTTGCGTCCACCTAACTGAGTGACACTCATTGTAAGGCAACTTCATATATACATGTCAGGAAACCTAGTTCTGCCACCAGTACTGCTTCTCCAAAAGTGTATTTGGGTGACTAACACATCCACAAATACATAATTTTTCCATTCATATTCAAGACTTTTGCATGTACTACAGGTAATAAATGTGGCATTAACCTGTGAAATCAGTGATACCTTAATCATTGCTTTAAAAAAATAGATTATCAGTGGCCTCTACATGAATTTTCACTTTGAACTACAGTTTTTGCCAACCATAAATGTGAATTCTGCAGACTGTACAGTGGTACCTCGGGTTACATATGCTTCAGGTTACACACTCTGCTAACCCAGAAATAGTGCTTCAGATTAAGAACTTTGCTTCAGGATAAGAACAGAAATCTGGTGCGGCAGCAGGAGGAGGCCCCATTAGCTAAAGTGGTGCTTCACATTAAGAACAGTTTCGGGTTAAGAACGTACCTCCGGAACGAATTTAGTACTTAACCCGAGGTACCACTGTATTTGAATTCCTGGAATATGCAGGAATTAGTTATAGTTAACAGTGCAAAGGGTTTGTGTTTCCACATTTAACCTCTTTTGATGCTATTTGCAACAGACAGTGTACCTTCTGAATAACCTACCAGTAGTAAAGCATAATCACAGCAAGGTCCTTCCTTTCTTACAAATCTACTTAATATTTAGCTTTTCCTATTTCTCTTTTCCAGTCCTCAGTGCCTTCCCTCTTTTCTGCTTTAATTGCAACATAGCATAGCAACGTATTTGTTTTTTTCTGTTTGGGGCTAAATGCCTACCAGACTTCCTGCTTCTAGTGCAGGGTTGACTAAACTTTGAGTATCCAGATCCTTTTGGATTCCAGTTCTTGTCAGCGTAGTCGGGGATGATGGGCCCTAGGAACAGTGCTCTGTTCCCACTGGAGCTTATGCTTTCGTTTTGCTATCTTGGTAATCACCAGGCTTCACACTGCTGCCATTACAGTAGCATATACTTCCCCAAGCCCTGAGTTCAGAAACTAGCAGTTGTGTAACTTAAATTGCTTGTCAGATCTCACTGTGCTCCTTGAAAGTTGCCCTTCATCCTTCCCTTAGCACTCTTTGTTTTGTTTTTGACTGACATCATTTTTCTTGCTGCTGCAGGTGTTGTGTCTGAGTGTCAGCAGGAAAGATCTCAAATAAAAAATAAAGAAAAGGCTATGAAGATCCTTCGTGCCAAGCTATACAGTATCAAACTTGAAGAAGAGACCAGAAAAACAGAAATTGCTAGAAAGATTCAGGTAATGTTTAATTTGCTCTTCATCTGTGCCTGGAAACTTGAGTTTAAGTTCTACTGGGACAAGTACGTACATCAAACATGACGAGAAGGCATGAGCTGATGATATAATTGGGCTGGAGGGCGCAAAGAAGAAATCTACAGCATGAAGCTTGGAATTTTAATAGGCATTGTGTGGTGGAGAAAAAACAGGTTTCTTAAACAGCACAGTGAAGTAGAGTAATTTAACAATTAACACCTCACTTAAAATAAAGTGAGCATAAAGCTTACCAACAGGTCTGTTAATACCCTGTGTAGCCCTGAAACTAATGACAGTACTTATTGGTGTGCACCCCGACTTTTATAGCTGTGCTCAGAAGGCGAGGAAACTGTGCCCTCACAGTTCTTCTGGTAGCACCTTGGGCAGAGAAGGTGTGGTATAGTAGTTAGTGTATTTGTGCAGGGAAAATAAGTTTCCTATAGTGCTTTCCTTGTTAACTCTTCATGCCATACATTTGCATCTCTAATGTTTTCAGTCCAATCCATGCATGTATCTGAGCTCTTGTTCATGGCACAATAACCCAGTTAGTTGCCAAGGAACTAGATACAGCATGCTCTTGTTTTCTTCATAGTCTGGCAAGGTCTCTGAGAGCCCAAGGCACCTCCAAGTGCATCTGCTCTCCCTCCTCTTCCCTTTAAAAGTTTGGCTGGCTGAGAGAAGTGATGCCTCAATTTGTCAGAAGCAGAAAATTTTATAAGAGATGCAACACACATGTTCTGCTTCTCCTACTTACAGTAGTTGCTTTTTAGGTGTAAGCATAATAGAGAGAGCTATAAGCCTCTCCTGTTACACTACATTTATTTATTTTGCTCAAGCAATTTAGAATGTAAGCTATTCAGGGTGAGGGCTTATCATCTGGGTCTTTTTGGTTATGTTAACTCTGTAAAGGATTAGGTATATATAAAAAAACCCTGATCAAATTTTTCTTTTTCTGATTAGACTGGGTCCAGAGGAAGGTCGGAGAAAATCAGAACCTACAACTTTCCCCAGGATCGTGTTACTGATCACAGAATAAGCAGATCAGTGCATGACATTGAAAGGTTCATGTTGGGGGAGGAACTGCTAGATGACATGATAAAGTCCCTAAGAGAATATGCTGATTATGAGACTGTATTGGAAGTTATTTCTGAAAGTGATCCAACCAGGCTGAGATGATCTGCCCCACAGGTACAGAATGCAACCAACTAGCTTGCTGCATCTGCTAGCTTTGGACCTACCTGACATTGAAATCTCTCTCTTTCTGTGAAAAAGGGTGAAGTTAGCATTATTCTCAAATTGCTTCTTGAAGCAGACAGCTATGATGGTGCTAAGCAAATTGACACTTGAGACAGATTTTTGAATGGATGCTGGTGCTGTACTCTTCAGAGGTGGGCAAGAAATTGAGAACACACTGTCAATGAATAGCTTTTTTACAGCGAAAATCATTCAGTGCAATAAGAAAGCTAACATGATGTTTTAAGTTATTACAATGTTGATACCTTAATCTAAAACCTGGAAGAAATTCTATTGTTTTCAGTGGCACTTGGATTTGTCACCACATGTAAATTTGAATTTATTTATCGTGACATTGTTAGAAAATTATACATAAGATTCTAACAGCTGTGTTGCCAGAGCAAGTCAGAGGATTGGGCTTTTACTGGCTGCCCCTCTGTTATGCTAAATGCAACTTCTTTAAAATCTGAGCCTACTTGTGTTGAATCCTTTGGCCCAGTTATGCACATGTATCCCATGAGTAAAGAGAACACTGTTACACTTTCTATCCTGCTGTCTAAATAGCTGGTCACCCCATACTTACATGTTCTAGTTTTCCACCACGCATGGAAATTTGACTGGGAACTTTGGAACCTTAGAGGCTGCCTAGAGGTAGCCAGCTGGACCTCATATTCTATCATCCATGACCACTGGCCAAGCTGACCAGGAATGATGGGAGTTGGAGTATAACAATGCCTGAAGGGCATCACATTGGATATCCCCTAGAGCCTGCCTTCAAACAGAAGGAAGAGTCTGGGTCTCTGGTATTTTAGTCTCGTAACCCAGAAATCTAGAGGAAATGAAGAGCCTTATGGTTCACAGGCAAGTGCCTGTGGCTGGTTTGAAAAAGAATAAAAGTCCTTGCTTTATATGGCAAGTCTTTAAAAGGACAGACTCAAATGCTCTACTCTTCCCAACTGCAGAGGTCCAAGATCATCTTCACAGCTTCCCAGTGGACTGCTTAACTCCTTGCACTGAGGCAAACTCTGATCAAATTGGCTTTCTATATACGGAGTTCCTTTTTCTGTGCTTTTCACACCTGTGACTGCTGTGAAAAAGAACTCCACTGGATAATCTGCTCTGAAATTCTGTCTACAGTGAGTTGACAGGAATTTGTTAAATAGGGATGGAAATGTTGGGGGACATCCAACAAAGTTGACCCATTAGCACAAGGATGTCTGTCTATTAAACAAAACTGCATTTCTCTGTGCCCCCCTTAATCTGCCTTTGGGCTTTTCCAAACCCTCTAGACCAGATTTTTTTTGGGGGGGGGCATGCATGAAGGTGAAGCTCCATTGCACAAACCAATTATTGGCCTGATGAAACTACTTTGTTGGATATTGCCCCCTGGCTTTACTTTCCTGTGTACAACCATGCAGTAGAAAGCTTTCAAGAAGAATTTTGATTTAATAGTTTTTATTTTAAAAAATCAGCTACTAATAAGAAAACACACCCCTGCACACATGCCTGTAGCAATATCTTCTGCATGTTTCAGGCTGAGGTAATCTAATAGTGATTTGTAAATGTCTCACAGAAGATCAAGTAACTTTTTTGAAGTTAGGAAATTCTGATCCAGTGATTTAGTTAGCAACAGTCTGATATTCTCTTTGGAGATTTATCCCAGCAGTTCAGTAGGCTTCTGTGATTATTCTCTTGCATCATCCTGTAACAGAATACAGCCATGCTGCTGGGGGCTGCGGGACTTTTAAAGTTCTTTGCACATTTATTTCATACAGCTTTTACATTTCATTCCCTGCTTGTTATTATTCAGGGGGGGGGGATCAGAGCCAGTTGTGAAATTATGAAACATTTTGGGAGTCCCAGATATGCAAGGACATCATAGGGTTGAAAAGTGAGTCCCAAGAGATTCCTTGGGACAAACTGGAAAAGCTTTGCACTAAGAGAGGACTTGTGTTATGACAATCTTCAACTTGAAAATTCAGTTTCTTGCACTCTTATCTTTCAATATATAATGCCAGTGATAGCACTCTTTATAATGTTAAAGCCAAGATAAAAATGATGTACACAAATTACCATTTTACCCTTTTCACTGCAGTAGGATCAATCTCTTTTACCACTTGTACACTCTAACATAAGCTCTCTGGTAAGAAATGTGTGGGCTCTTATGTTTGTTTTGTTTTTTTAAACACACCCTGTTTTAAAACAACACATAGAGAGCCTTGCTGAGATAGCTTTCCTTTGCTCAGAAATCCTTTTCTGTCCTTGGTAGTTGTTATAGGTCAGGGGTCAGCAACCTTTCCCAGCCACTGTCCCTCAGACCATGTGGTGGGCCGGACTATATTTGGGGGGGGGGGTAATGAACGAATTCCAATGCCCCACAAATCACCCAGAGATGCATTTGAAATAAAAGGACACATTCTACTCATGATTCCTGGACCATCCGCAGGCTGGATTGAGAAGGCAAATGGACTGCATCCAGCCCCCGGGCCTTAGGTTGCCCACCCCTGTTTTTAAGATTCAAGAACCATGACTTACAGCACAAAGGCAGAAGGATTCAAAGATGCCCTCCCTTTCTGTTGGGCTGCCTTCCTTACTCCCCTGCCCTGCCCTGAAGGCAGTTTGCAACAATTAAATCCAGTAGAAGAGCCTGATTCCTTGCCCTCAAGACAGCTAATTCTATCACTTGGCATGATTACATCAAAGGCAGGGTAGAGTCCTGGTCTTTTTTGGCTGGGGCAGTATGCTCTTTCTCTTTACCTTTCGTAGGTCTGAGTGATAATATTTATTTTCTAATCACTGAGAAAAGATGAAAACCTACCCTAAATGTAATTCCCATATTTATTTCCTGTCTACGTCTACCTGTTGCATCACTACAACTAAATAACTGGAGCGTTTATGCTTGAAAGAGGCAAGTTGAAGCATCTGCCTCACTGTTTCAAGGAAAGAAGCACCTACATATAAGGATTTGTTTCCTTAAGAAAGGCATAAACAAAACCACTATCTGTAGTGATAATTTTTCAACATGGGATAATGAAATTATGTCCAAAGATATTATTTTACAATTTAGGAGAACATGAGATGATGGATATAAAACGGTAATCTTAATTTGTTTCATCTATAGGCCACAACAAAGTTATGGGTCTACAAGTGGTGAAAATAAAGGATAGATTACCCAAGTTAAAATTATGTTGCTGTATTAAGTGAGGGTAGTTAAAACTACTTGATTTAAGATAATTTCTACCTGAATGTCCTAAAAGCTGAGAAAGCATTTCTGCAGTGAAGCCACTATCATGCTATAGTAAAATGAATTTCAGGGAGGACTGTGCCTATCTCAAAAGCACAAGTTTTTGTTAGGTTTAAATCATAAATTCTTAAAATATGAAGTGCATTTGCTTCTGGAAAAACAACTTCGTAGTATTTTATTTCATATGCTGATTTGCTGTAAAAGATTTTCCAAGTATTTTTATTGTTCTTTGTTGGAATATTAGCTTGTGTATTGCTGAAAGATGCCTTGGCTCTTTAATGATCATAAAAACATTTAAATGTGATATTAACATTTTTACTTAGGAGAATCTCAACAAATATGCTGCATATTTAGAGTGTGATCCTAAACACAATTATCCAAAAGCAAGTCTCTCTGAATTCAATAAAATGTTGCTTTCTTGTAACTGTGTTTAAGATCAATTTTAGAATCAATCCTATTCACATTTACCTGGGAGTAAGTTTTATGGAACTCAATGGGACTTATGCATAGGACTCTTATCTCTGCACAAGTATCCTATAGATGCTGCTTTATGTTTAGACATAGAGGGGAAATAATGTATTCTTTTGATACTAAAATTTGTGGCAGAAAGATCCATACTATCTATTATACCCTACTCCAGTGTAGCAGATAGCCTTATCTAAGGGCCAGTATTTCCTGCTAACCGTTTGTTTTTTAAAAAACAAAGTATTACATTGATTTTTATTCAACACAGATAGCTTTGTAGCTGGAGGCAAAGGTAATGTGTTAGTGTTTGCTATTTATATGTAAAGATCTGCATAAACACTTCAGAGGCATGAAGTGTTTGTTTATTCATGATACATTATTTGTTGAATGAATCTATGGATAGCTTTGAGGCTCTATGAACAAGCTAATAAAATTTTTAAGAGCTGGTCCTCTAAGAGTTGGATAGGAAAGTATAGCTGTCACAATTATTACTTAGTGCATCTATCTAGGATTGTACCCAGTGCCTCTCATGCACTTCCATGCTGCTTTTGTAACTGATGTGTTTGGGGAGGGGGTGAAAGATAGGGTAATGGTACATTCCTAGTCCCACACAGTTAACACTCTTGATAGCTGTGGGAATGTATTAATATCTTTTGCAACAAACATAAAACTGCTGCAAACTGATGACCTGGAAAGAGCCTTGGTGCATTCAACTTTCACTAAAACCAGTGGAAAATGGCGTAGACATGGCAGAAGGAATCTTATTACATTCTGTAGCTTTAAACTGAGGTCTACTAACATAATTTGTCCAATTCTACTATTGTAGAATTATTGTATTCTATAATTCTATTATTATAGAATAATGGTAATAACAAAATTAATTGTAATGCAATTTCATAATGTTTATACCTTTGATAAGGCTTCACCAAGCTGTCCTTGATTCAGAAATGGGAGCAATTTCCATCAGGTAGCTGGGGAAGTTTCAAGAGAGATTAAACTAAATATTGGGCTTCAATGTCCAAGACCACTGCAGCAAGACATGATTGCACCATTAGAGTATCAGAATAGAATGTACTCCCATACTTGCAGCTTATATCTGCTTCTCCTCCTGAATACATGCAAACTTACAATTAAAGATAATAGCCTAAGGCTTGTTTACAGGAAAACCCTCTGCAGTGCAGGGGGTTGGACTAGATGACCCTCATAGTCCCAACTCTACAATTTCACGCTTTCATGTGTGGAGGTGTAAGAGGCCAACAAAGTACAGTCATTACTGTTACGAGCGTGCTTTTTAAGGATGAATATATTGGGACTTGGGTGGCGCTGTGGGTTAAACCACAGAGCCTAGGACTTGCCGATCAGAAGGTCGGCGGTTCGAATCCCCGCAACGGGGTGAGCTCCCGTTGCTCAGCCCCTGCTCCTGCCAACCTAGCAGTTCGAAAGCACGTCAGAGTGCAAGTAGATAAATAGGTACTGCTCCGGTGGGAAGGTAAACGGCGTTTCCGTGCGCTGCTCTGGTTCACCATAAGCAGCTTAGTCATGCTGGCCACATGACCTGGAAGCTGTACACTGGCTCCCTCAGCCAATAAAGTGAGATGAGCGCCGCAACCCCAGAGTCGGCCACGACTGGACCTAATTGTCAGGGGTCCCTTTACCCTAATATTGGAGCAAGCTGTGGCTTTAATTCCAAACTTACTTAGACTTAAAACTACAGCCTAATTCTGTGAAAAGGTTTAGCTTTAGGATTTGTTTACAGCAGCAGGGTTTAAAACTAGTAGGCTTTATAACATAAAATACCTGAGAAGCTGAACAATGAAATCTGCCTCCTTCCTTAAACCAAGCCAATCCACTCCAGCCCGCCCCCGCCCCCCCAAAAAACCAGGTATCATAGAAGGAAATACTGTACTCCCAGGTCAGTTTCTGGTCCCTGTTTCTTGACTGTGTTATAAGAACCCAATTAATTTAGGAAATTGCTGCCAGGTTAATCATACTCAGAATTGCGAAAGCTCTACTTTTAAGAAGGAGACTTAATTATATACCAGTTTCCTGTACCTGTTATATTAAAAACCGCAGGCCGGGGGAGATGGAACATGTCTAAGAGGCGGTACAGTGTTACGTGTCTCCTCCTCCTCCTCCTCAGTTATCCTAATACTATCGTGGCAAGAGGTCTGAAGAGGCGGAGAGCCCGCCAGGCCCGAATGGTGTCTCCTGAACGCGCAGGAGCCCGGGGCTGGGCGCCAGACTCTGACCAATAGAACGGCCCGGGGAAGGAGAGCGCGAGCTCTTTCGAAATCGTGGGCAGGCGCCACAGCCTCTCCCGCGCTCCAACGCGTCTCCCTCCAAAGCTCGAGAGAGACAGCGCGCGCGCGGGAGGGGCGGGGGATGGGCACGCCTTTTCCCCGCCCCGCCACCTCAAGGCCCCGAGTAGCAGAGGCTCGCGCCCTCAGCCTTTAAAACCTCTTGTCAGGCGAGAGAGAGAGAGAGAGGGAAAACCACCCCCAACGGCAGCTCCGCCTCTCGCGAGCGGGCATTGGCCTCCGCCTCTCCCTTTCCCCGTATTGGCCGCCGAGCTTCAGCGGCGGCTCCCCATTGGCTCCTCTAGTTTTGGATACCAGATTCAAAGTTTTTAAAAGTACCCGGCAAAGAAATTCCGCCCAGAGCAGGCAAGCGGGCTAGTGGCGGCTCGGGAAGCAGCGCCGAGGAAGAGCCCTGTTAGGGAAAAGGACGGAGGAAGAAGAAAAGGGAAGGAAAACGTAGGAAGGAAAACGTAGAAGTGCATCGACTCCTCCGTTCCAGGTACAGGGGAGGGAAGCAGGGATGAAAGAGGCGCCTGCAAGGCTGCAATGCCCTCTTTGGGGACGGGGCGATGTGGGGGGCTCAAATCCCCCCAAGAACGCCTGATAGCAATGGATGGGAAGGGATTAGGATCCAGCTTGGTATGGATGGGCTGAAAAAGTCCATATTTCCCCCTCTTCTCCCCAATAAAAGGGAACTGACGCTGGAAAGGAGTCCCGCCGGCGGGAGAAGCCCTGAGTCGCTCTCCCGCGTAGTGGACGGGGAGCTCCTTTAAAGTGCGGGAAATGATGATCCCCTTTACCCCCTTAGCTCTTCTCCGTTTACTGAACTCGTTTATTATCCCTCGATCTGCTCCAGAGATGGGTTTCTCCCCACCCCGGTCAACCGCCTCCCCCCACCCCAAATTGTGCCTTACAGCGCACGTGGGGTATGGATTGGGGAGCCCTTGAAAAAACACTGAATGGTCTCTTCTACCCACCCGAGATCCTATTCTCAACCTCGCCCCGCAACCTCTTATTTTTCTTGCCCTGGGAGGCCTGGTGGGCACCATTTCTGCGGGGCGCGGGCGAGTTTGCGCGTCCCTCGCTTCTGTAATCTGGAGCCCGCCAGGGTGGGAGCAGCCATTAAGCGCGTGCTCGAGCCTTGAATTGGAGGGGGGGGGTCGGAGGTGCGACTTAATATCCCCCCCCCCCGAGAAAGACATACATTTATTAAGGGGGAAACCAGGCAGGGCGGGCCTCCCATGTCCATTCTCCCATCTCCCGCGCTCCTTGAGAAGGCGCCTCCCCAACCCCTCAGAGATGGCAGCGGGCTGAGGAGAAATAACAGCGATTTTGGACTGCTCTAACCAACGAATAGGGGTGGGTCGGTGGGTGAGGCCCGATAGACAGAAACTGCCACTCACCTTGATATTGGGGGTGGGGGGCTTTTTCTCATTGTTCCCTTGGGGACGGCAGTGTGATTCCCTCACATCTGAATATATTTCCCCCCACAGCATATATACTGCCTTTTAGGGTGTAATGCCCAAAACAGCATTTGGATTTCCCCACCCCCTTCACATTACAAACTGTACCTCACTGTTGAGTAGGGTGCTTGAGAAAAGGACTGGCGGTGTGCTTAATGCACCATAGCTGTATTTTTTTTAGCCACCACTAGGTTCCATGACTGCCTCGCCTTGGAGAAAGGCTACAGTATTTCTCCTGACCTTTTCCTAGCAGCATTCTGAATGAAGGGGAAACCCCTAATAATCCTTCAGAAAGTAGAACCATTATTTCCCCAGGACCCAGCTGGAAATCTCACTGATAATGCTTTAACTGTACAGCAGGGAATTGGACAAACATGCCAGTTCAGGACCATCTATCCTGATCTGCCATTTTGTAGCCCTCCTTTTATAGCTTTCCAAGTAGTTCCATACCTGGCATACAATATGTCTATGCAGAGTAAATAATTTTTGGTTTGGCAGTTTATCCTCATCTTCGCTGGCGGTAAAATGCCTTGTAAAATGTGTTTTGTAAGTTATTTTGTTCATTTGTATTAAAGCGAGCTGTCTATAAACAGTAAGAAATAATCACATGTATAAAAAGCCCTGTATTTCTGCAGCGTAATTTTATATTAACATGAAAGTGTTGAATTAAATGTTTTAAAACAAATGAACAGCCCTTCAACAATGCTTCCAGATTGTCTTCTGAAATAATTTTAAGGCTAATGTCTTTTTATTTTTGTTTTAGATACAATTCTGACAATATTTAAAAACAAACCACTTTGAAAATGAAACGTGATGTTAATTGTTACTATGTTCACTGTGGACATTCACCATTAAAACCAGGTGGAACAGAGAAAAGATCAGAAGAGCTCTGTATTGCTAATTATGATAAAGACTTTTGTAAAGACTGCAGTAAAGACTATCAGAAGGTTTTCTACAGTGACCTGCACAATGGAAGTCCCAAGAGTGTCAGCATCCAAAGTGGCGAGGAACCTGTACATAACAACAAAGAAAACCAAGAAATATTGTGGAGGCATGTTCAGAGTGTCAGTGAAATGGACAATGGAAATGAGGACAGTGGGTATTCCTCTTTGTTGGGCAATCAGCACGAATCTACTGTCCACGATGATAGCATGCCTTTGGCAGGAAACATCAGTAATACACCAAATCACCATCTTAATCAAAGAAAAAATTTGCTTCCAGTCCTCCATTTTGAAGAACTTGTCTGCTCAACTTTGAAAAAAACTAGTAGAAGAAATCCAAAGACATGGGCTCTTGTCTTAGATAAGATTGTTTCCAAGCAAAACATGGAATTTAGGAATCTAATTGGCAAAAAAATGGGACTAGATAAATTAGACATTCTTGGTGAGCTGTTCCATGGAAAGTTCAGTCATCTACTAGCAAGTATCTTAAAACATCTCAGCTATATGGACTTGATAAAGTGAGTTCATTTAATATGGTGTTTGTACATTAAGCTGAATTATAAGGTCAAGCTTAAGAGACCATTTTTAGTGCACTAATTTTCCTCATGGATGAATACTGCATGAAGACATAACTTATGTGTCAGCTAGCATACCCATGTGAAGTATTGTGCAAATATTCTCTTTTACTGTCTGTTCCCAGTGCTCTGGCAATAAATATTAATATCTCAGAATGACCTTCATTGGGTGACATCCAATCAGCAGAAGAGACCTGTTGGTTATGCAACAGGATTCCTCTTTCTATTCACCTTTGCAGTTGCACCAAACTCCAAAATATACTCTGGAGGATTGGAAGTCCCTCTGAGCATATGAGGCGAGGAAGGGGAAGTCTGTTCACATGACATTGGATGTTACCCATTCAATTTAATTTGTTAAGGCATTGGTAGGGAAAACAATTTTATATTTGTAGATGTTAGAACCCTTTATCATTTTTCATTTCTGCTTTCCTTTATTTCATTTCGAACTATTCAAAATAGAATATGAACCTGTCCAACTCCTATGCTATGCTGTGCTAAGCTTAGAGTGGACACTTCTGAAACGTACACGTCCTTTCTAAAAGGGCATAGGAGGGAGATTAATGTACAGCTCTGCACTGAGGTTGCCTATAGATTTATAATAATGAACAGGTTTATAAATGGTGCCTTGAAGGTATCTGTAGGTAGAATTGTTTACTTGGTTAAGCAACGGGATTTGGTCTTATTTTCTGAATATAACTGATGGGTTTTTTCACAACAGTGTGGCTAAAGTGAGCACTACGTGGAAAAAAATTCTACAAGATGACAAGTGGGCTTTCCAGATGTATAACAAAGCACTGAAATTGACTTTGGTAAGAATCTCTACTTTCCCCCATTCTAAGTCCTGTTTTTATTATTGAAGCACCTACACATCTAGGAACTGGGGCAGGGGGTTCTATTATTTCTGTTGCAAGTCTCTGATTGCTAACACAAGCTAAAAAGCAGAGGTAGAGAACCTCAGGCTCTGTCTGGTCCAGGGCACACACCTCACAGGCTCTCCTTTGTACTCCCAAGTCTTCATGCATGGCTGAAATGCCTCCGTGAATTCTGATGATGCCTCTTCCTTCTATAAGGGTAGAGAGGTACATGCATAGGAACTAGTCTACTGTACAAAGGCACGATTTGGATTTGTTGCTCCACCCAATTTTGCCTCTGGCCCCACCCACCACTGACATGTTGGCTATTGGGCTGAAAAGGTATATACACCCCTCCTGTAAAGGTAACTTGCTTGTTTTCTCAGGCCCGCAAGTTTTGGCTGGATTTGTTAGCCTGCTTTTATTTGTGCCAGATAACTTGGTAGGGCCTGATTAATATATATGGCAAGGCTCAAGAGTAAGGGCTGGGCCTTGGTCAGCTTTGCATGCTCCCCCCCCCCCCCCACGCTAATTGTGCAAGCAGCAAAGCATGACAGGCGTCTATATGCTAGATTGCCAGTGGCAACGCCTGTACAATCAAATCTTGTTTTAATCATCTGAGATATTCCGAAACTTCATACAACCACACACAGCGCTTTGCAAACATACAATCTAGGAAGCAACAATTAACTAATTTCCCATTATGTCCAAACCAGGAGGCAGCAGAAAATGGCTTCTAAACAAGTCAGAATATGAAAAGGTGGCTTAAAAAGCTGGTTTTCAGAACCTGGTTTGTTTGGGCAATATTAACCATAGTTTCCAGTTTGGTTGGAATAGAAATGTATGACTAGTAGAGGCTTCCTGTCATGCATGCATGCTTACATAAAGGTGCTGTATGTGGGTGCATGCACACTGGGCAAAAAGATTCCTGCGTTGCAGGGGGTTGGACTAGATGGTCCCTGTGGTCCCTTCCAACTCTATACTTCTATGAACCTCAGACATATCTCAGCTTACTAAGCCAAGATTGGATTGTGAATGTGGCCAGTGGCTGTTGCTACAGGCAGTCCATCAAATAAATTTGCAATAATTTGGGGAAGGTATTGGCCTACACATACATTTAGTAGCCTGCCAGCCAATCCATATTTGTATTGCTCTCTTTGGAAGTTCCAAAAGCAAAAAACACTAATTTTTAATCTAATTAGATTTTTAATCTAATTTTTAATACCTCAATTTTTAATAAGGTCCCCAAAGACACATTTGGAGGCTATTGGGCCATATGCCACCTGGAGGGCTGATACAAGCTGTGAGTTAAAATACTGTGTTCTACACCAGGGGTCTTTTATTCATGAAAATTCCTGAGAATTTGGCAAAGGTGCTGAGCCATCTATTGGTCAGATAGTAGATTGTCTTTTGTAGGAATACTGCCAGAAACTAGAAGGAAGACGTCTCCGAAGTATCAGCTAAATTTCCTTATTCTGCTTTTGTTTCTTTACTCCCTGAATACAAAAGCAGGTTCCGATGTGTGTGTATACTAACAGATAATTAGCACTTTACTTTCTTTTTTAATCCGCAGTCTTGTAATAAACATTATTTTCTTGGCAGAATAACAGCGTGAAGGCCTCCAGACAGGGTGATACAAGGGAATATGCTCTTTGTCGAGAACCGTTAACTCACGTTCAGAAAGTATCAGCTGCACAAAACTCTAAAAAAGCATCCAGAATCAAGGTGGACAACCAGAGCTCTTCCTCCTACAGCCGGTACACACAGTTTTCCGAGGTAAAGTGCTTTTAATCCTGAGTGGCTTTTGGTGATGCCACATTGTTAGTAATAATTTCAAGTACAATGGACCCATATCATGTGCCAGTTATTCTTATACAGTACAAACCTTGTGAAGCCAGATTAAGCGAGCAACATATTGAACTGTTTAACAGGCTGTATCTTTTGACAATAGAATTTGAAGTAGGGGAAGCCTTAAATTCTTTTTAGAAGGGCACACAAGCTGTAAAAACATGGTGTGTAATTAAATGAGCTTCATTTTGATTCAGGGAGATGTTTACGAAAGTAAAATCCTTTAAAAAAATATTTTATTTTGCTCAACAGGTTGCCATGACTTTGAAAAACACTGAAAGCCTGAAAGTCTGCAGCTACTGTGGTTCACCTGCTAAGTATGATTCCCATCTGCAGAGGGCAACATGTATCCGTGAAGGCTGTGGTTTTGACTTTTGCACAAAGTGCTTATGCAGCTACCATAGTGCCAAGGACTGCTCAAGTGGAAAGTCTTTGAAGCCCTCCTTCAAATCAGGACCCCTTCCTGGTACCAAAAAAAGCAAACAAAATTTACGCAGGCTTTAATTTGAACTGAGGGACAGGCTGTGGCTGTTGTACCATGGGACCTGATTTGGAAGTCCAAAAGAGTGAATATGAAAGAAAGAACTGACTTGTTTAAAACCATTTTTTTAAAAAGAATGAAAACATAAATGTATTTTGGAACTTTTCCAGTGGGTTAGATGCTTTTAAATTTTTAAAAAATGAATTTGCTATTCCAAATGTCCTACCTGCTGTTTTAAAAAGGGTATTCGCCAAAAAAAATTAAATTCAATTTGTTTTAAGCGGATGGAGAGGGTAGCATCTGGACAGAAAGTGGAATTAGGTTTTGAAAGTTCAGTAGAATAAATTTGTTTTAAGAAATGAGCTTTTGTTTTAATGTATTCAGACTTCATGCCTTACAAAAGCTTTTAGAACTTTACTGTTGAATGACAATGGATATGAAATGCATTTTTTGCTAAATACGCAATAATACCCTTGTATTTGCGGTTTGAAATATTTATTGACCAAGTTTTGTCTAATTATTTTCAAAGCATTGGATGTGACTGGGATTAATAACCACTCTGGTCTTCATAACTGCTGAAACAATACTGTTTATCATGCCCCCATTTCATTCCTGGGCAAATACCCTGATGGCCAGTTATCCCTTTACTTTTCTTCAAATCCAAGATGCTTCTCCTGCCTATATACTTGTAAATACTTAAATATTTGTCTGTCTCTATGCTGAAAAATAAATTTAACTTTATAAATAATACCAGCACTATGTTTGTTACAGCACACAAATAACTAGAGACAGGTACATTCCCGCATTGACAGAACTCCATACAATGGGCGAGGCAGTCACACATACCATGTCAAGCTAGCCATGTGCACATCACAGTTCAGGCCCAATGAAGAGTCACTAGGGACAAATAGGCTTGGAGGGTCACATTTGACCTCTGGCCTTGAGGTTCCCAACTCCTGGTCTAGATTTTTAGAACGGAAAATTGCCCTGAGCAATAAGAACAAGAACTGTGTGTGTTTTTTAATCCTCTCTCATAACAAAGAGTTCCACGACAGATATTACACATGCAGCTGGAGAGAAAATTTCTTCGCCATACTTAGAAATCAAGAACTTATCAGAGAGTGGGAGCATTTTAAGCTCTGTCTGGTATGCTTATTTTACTGCAGGGATTCCTGTGGTACTTGTATGCACAGTGGTGTGGCGCTTAGCCCATTTGAGTTCTTGCCCATATACTTGATGTATCCCCTTGATTCCTGCTATATTGTGACACTGCTACCAACTTTTTGCACTTAAGGAAACCTAACAGTGAAATGTTGCTCCCTACAAAACATTTTCTCTTCCAGTTTTTTAGAAGTTCTTTGGCATTGATTGTGTATTATATTGCACATAGCCTTAGCTTTGCCTTATGCAGTTTGAGGTACTTAGTAGTAATTATGCCACAATCGTGCTTTGAAAATGTAAGTTGCTCGAAAAATTGCATGGGCCTGGTATCTTTTCTAGGGTCCTTCAACTGGCCTAAGTTACACCATTTTCTTTTTTTACAGTGACTGCTTAGTTATTGCATAGCTTAAAGGAAACCACACGATGGGGCTGTTGCAGCATTACACAAATGTCCTAGGAAAACATGTTTTCTAATGGGAGAAGAAAAACATTACAGTGCATTTTGATTCATTTAATGAGTTGTTATAAGACATGATCCACAACTTTTTTCTTGATCCCACCACACCACCCTGGAGAACCACAGACATCCGCCTGAATCCATTAAAAAAAAACAATGTTTAGACTTTATAATTTTACAGAAAGCCCACAAAACAAGTTCAGAGTGAAAGGGTTGCAGGGAATGAAAGAGATGGGATCAGGAAGGAGAAAGGAGCCACAATGATCTGATGTGGTTCTTCTGCATGTCTTTATATTTTCTTTTATGGCTGCTTACATTATTTGGTGTCAGGAAGGCATCTCTTATGAATCTTAATCACTTCATGATGAAAAGGTAAGTGCAAGATTTCTGTAGTGTAGTCACCTTATTTTAAAAAAATGAGGTCCTACTTTTTACCACCTGTGTGTCAATGTGGCCTACTATAATAAAAAAAAAATCCAATATAAAATAATATGTAAATTAAATTTCAAGTTAAAATCTCAGGAATTGGAACAAAGGACTTCCAAAAATCAAGGGGAATCCCATACAGAAACCCTGAAATACCCGTAGGGGCATGATAGTGCTATAATTGTTCACTGTGCTGTGTTATAAATTTTGCCTACAGTTTTTAAGTAAACTGTCTTCAAGTCATACTGTTATTACAGTTTTGGTGTACCAAGCAGGGATACAGAAAGTTGGAAAGTAGGTGCAGGGTGAAGAGATCTGTGGGTGCCCTTATGTGGACAGGGATAGCCTAACTACTGTTGTCCATGCTCTGGTAACCTAGGTTAGATTACTGCAACAGGTTATATGTTGGGCTTCCTTTGAAGACTGTTCAGAAACTTCAGCTAGTGCAGAATTCAGCAATCAAGTTTCTCACCAGGGTAAATAATTAGAATAAAAAGAGCTCATCAGCAGCCTTTTCATTAAAAGCAGTTAGTTCCCAAAAGCTTGCCAGCAGAAGGACAAGGAGGGAGCCAATCTAACTTTTCTAGGAAAGGAGTTCCAACGTCTGGGAGCAGCTACCAAGAAGGCCCTCTCCCACATCCCTACCTTCTGATGTTTGTGCATATCCATTTGCAAGGATGCCAGGAGATGGACTACTCCACATGCCCCCTTGGCATGTTCAAACACTGGAAAAGGCAACAGTAAATGCACAGTGCTACTTTTATCTAAATTTACCCGTCGTGATGTTTTCCCATTTACTCTGCCTTCCCTCTTAGGGAAGTGGTGTAGTACAGTGGTACCTCAGGTTACATACGCTTCAGGTTACAGACTCCGCTAACCCAGAAATAGTGCTTCAGGTTAAGAACTTTGCTTCAGGATGAGAACAGAAATCGTGCTCCGGCGGCAGCAGGAGGCCCCATTAGCTAAAGTGGTGCTTCAGGTTAAGAACAGTTTCAGGTTAACGGACCTCCGGAACAAATTAAGTACTTAACCCGAGCTACCACTGTAGAGCATCTGCTTTGCATGCAGAAACTTGCAGGTTCAATCTCCAGCATCTCTAGGTAGGCCTGGGAGAGAATTTTGTACAGTACCTTGAAGTGCTGCTACCAGTCACCATAGACAATATTGATCAAGATGGACTTAAGGGATTGTCCTAGTGTTAGAGAGCTTCCTATATTCCTGGTTCTACCTGGTCTTGTTCTGTTATGGCTCTTTGGGTGCTTCAAGGCAACCTGTTTGTACATTCAACATCAGTCCTGATTTGTTCACATAAAGCTGATACAGAGGATTTATTGAGCATTTGATCTAATTTATTTAAATATTTTAAAACAGCTTTCAAATAAAATATCACAAGATACTAAAAAAACACAAATACTACAATAAAAGCATCAAGCACACAACCAAAAGCTGGTTGGCAAAGAATCTCAGGTTTGAAAGGTCTTTTTCAGAAGAAGTCTGAAAGAGCAGGGGTGACTACTGCTGAACCCCTATTGGCAGTGATTGGGAAATACTTCCAGGTAAAGATATGTAGGGTTGCACTGTAAGTGTGTTTAGGATAGAAGCCCAAATCATCCATGGCCACCTACTTTGCAGTAAACATACTGTTGGAGGCAACGTGGTGCTCCCACCATCTGGCAGTTTGGTACAATGAAGTCTGCGTTCCATAGGTTCATCAGAGGGGTGTGGCTGATGATCTCAAGGCAATTTGGCCTTAAAATGAATAATTGAGAGGATGAGGTTGGCCTCTTATTCCAGGGCAATGATGAGGCTGAACATTGGCTCTGTTCTTCACAACTTGTATTTGTTTCCCCCTCTCCTTCCCACTAGAGGGCAAACTACATCTTTTCATTTTCAGGCAACAAAACGAGAAACAAAGTCTCATTTGAGCTAATTTTGCAAGTCGTTAACAAGGCATGAATCGGAAAGGGGACCATATAGCTTGTTAGGTACATGTCTTCAACTTAGTATTGTTTTGTGAGGATTTAATTCAGTTTAACTTATTGCATTACAAATGCAGATGTGTCTTAGAACGCAATGAACTGGGGGAAAGATCAGCTACAATTTGCTCATAAATACATTTTAAGCAGCTACTTTAAACAAGGCATGCTTCTCATTTTAAAGTAGAATGCCATTTCCAATCTAAAATCCTAGTGACATGAGGAGTGAATAATTCCATGGGAAGTGGTATATCTATATAGAATACATTTTAAAATCTAAATTCTGCTCCAAGAAAGACTGTATGCTGTGGTCAGTACAAATATATGTACACATTTCCTTATTTTCTATATTATATTCTCTCTGGGTTGGGACACAGCACTATGCAGGTGCTTCCAAATACCAGTTTCTGGAAACTACTAACAGCAAGAGTATTCTTGTGCTCGGGTCCTGGTTCCAAGTTTGCCACAGGCATCTGGTTGGCCACTGTGAGAACAGGATGTGCTGGACCATTCAAAGTGTTGGTGCTGACCTTTAAAGCCCCAAATGGTCTCGGCCCAGTGTACCTGAAAGAGCGTCTCCACACACATTGTTCAGCCTGGATACTGAGATCCAGCGCCGAGGGCCTTCTGGCAGTTCCCTCACTGCGAGAAGTGAATTTACAGGGAACCAGGCAGAGGACCTTCTCTAAGTTGTGCCTGCCCTGTGGAATGCCCTCCTATCAGATGTCAAGGAAAGAAACAACTACAGTGGACAATCGGGTTGCGAATGTGATCCGTGCGGGATGCACGTTCGCAACCCGCAGCTGCGCGTCTGTGCACGCGCAGGTTGCATTCGGCACTTCTGCACATGCGCAAAGTACGATTTAGTGCTTCTGCACATGTGTGACTGCTGAAACCTGGAAATAACCCATTCCTGTACTTCCAGGTTTTGGCAGTCCGTAACCTGAAAAAACGCAACCTGAAGCGTCTGTAACCCAAGGTATGACTGTATTTGACTTTTAGAAGACACCTGAAGGCCAGTATGGAGAAGTTTTTAATGTTGGCTGGTTTATTATGCTTCTGTACTTGTTGGAAGCTGCCCAGAGTGGCTGGGGCAACCCGGTCAGATGGGTGGGGTACAAATAATAAAATTACTACTACTGCTACTACTACAAAATGGTCCATAGAATTGTAGAGTTGGAATGGAGCGCAAGAGTCATTAGTCCAACCCCCTACAATGCTCTGTTCTGATCAAAGGCAATAGAGCACCATAAGACACGCAAAACAAATTTAAGAATGGATATAACTAAATTGTGTGCCTGAATAGGCCTGAAATGAAAAAAAGTTCAGCCTCTAATTATGACTGACTACAACACAAAGTGATGCCTTTCATAGGTGAAATAGCAAGCCTGTATGAAAGTTAAGCATAAGCTATGTGTGCCACATTGGGGGGGGGATATATTACTACTCTGACATTCCAAGCATGGAATCATCTGTTGCATGTGTGGCTAAACACCCTCTGGGTGTCTGTATTTTATATCACAAGGGAATTAAGACTTAATGGTCATGTTTGCCTTTTAATAGTCATGTTTGCAAAACATATGATTAACAAAGGAACACCTGCTGGAAAAGATTTTACTGCAGCCCAAATTGCAGAAGAAGAAGAAGAAGAAAATAGTGTTATCCTGTTAGGGAAACAGAATTCTGCTCTTTGTCAGATTTCTTAACTAAGGAAATGAAGACTCCAAA